ACGAACTGCGGATTGCTGCAGCACATTGAACTTGTCGCAACAACAACTGGTGCCACAATAAAGATTTTAATTTGGCACGAACTACATTGTGAATTCAAATTAAATGAACGCGTTCATTTATTTTCTTTGATGAAATTGCATCACGACCAAGCTCGAGCGCACTGCCACTTGTGTCACCCCTGATTATCAGATGTAGAGAGCCACAAATCTATGTATTATACGTGTAAGTACTTGTAAATATGACCGTATTTTTTATTCGTAGAAAATGTAAATTTTATATATGATTTAAAACTGAAGCAGTTTAAAAAATAAAAATAAAGTTACTGACAAACCTGGCGTCGCCTTTACAGCATTGAGTGATTCACAATGTCCGGACATCTCTGTACCCCCTATACATCCCCTATACCCCCCGTACACCCCCTATACCCCACGTACACCCCCTATACCCCCCGTACACCCCCTATACCCCCCGTACACCCATACACCCCCTATACCCCCCGTACACCCCCTATACACCCCTATATCTCCTATTCCCCCATACACCCCCTATACCCCCTATACCCCCATACCTCCTATACCCCCTATACCCTACGTACACCCCCCGTACACCCATACACCCCCTATACCTCCTATACCCCCATACACCCCCATACACCCCCTATACCCCCCTATACCTCCTATACCCCCCTATACCCCCATACCTCCTATACCCCCATACACCCCCTATACCCCCCATACCACCCCTATACCCCCATACATCCCCATACTCCCCCTATACCCTCCGTACACCCATACACCCCCTATACCTCCCTATAACTCCTATACCCCCCTATACCCCCCATACCTCCTATACCCCCATACACCCCCTATACCCCCATACCACCCCTATACACCCCATACCCCACGTATTCCCCCATACCACCACTATACCCCCAGACACCCATACCCCCCTATACACCCCATACCTCCAGCAAGTCAAAATATATTTGTACAAACATTATATGGGTCATTCGGTAAAGCCATGTAGATATAAAACTAATAATGTATATTATTAAGCGATGGGGTGTCCACAGCCACTCGTCAAACACAGGTGCTGAGAGTGAGTGCGAAATGCTTAACAGACAAAAAGCAGATCGTATCTTTGCTCATTCTCCTTCACGGTTGACATTTGTTTAAAGTTTGTTGAAGACCAACTCTGGCATTCTCACCCCCCCCCCAACTCAGCCGAGTGTTTGTACACCTTCTAAACAAGGTCGCACTACTAGCTTGCTCTATTGTTTATGCGACCCACGTCTCCGTTAAACAAGATTTGATACATGAGTTAAAGTATTATTACGAGTAAAAAAAAGTTTAAATTAAAGCTATTTTTGGGTGAGTGAATTGAAACAAAAAGGTGAAAAAACGGAAAATCGTATTTCATTTAGGTAGGTGATGCTTGCATGGCAAAATGGTTATCACACTGGACAATTAAAAGGTCGCTGTTTTGGTCTTCTGTTAGAGGGATGAACTCGTAGCTCTGTTAAGATTGTGCACAATTTAAAATGCGAGTGTTGTAGCTAAAGACAATCAAGATTTGCAGGTCTGCCAATCTGCCGGTGTGTAAAATGTTTATCAGTACGCTACATGCATATGTGAGTGTGTCGCTTATTTACATATAATATAGAAGACTGGCTGACCTGGACAGCTGTACCATGCAACATCTACAGGACCAGAGACAAGACCAACATTTCGAGCAATATCTGATTTAATAAAACGTCCCAGAAATTGGATTTGCTCTCGAATGCAAGCAAGGATATACCCATATTCATATACATGTCCATAGACATATATATTATGCAAGCAAGGGCATGACCATAGACAAATTCATTACACACCGCATGTACTTTAAAGCACAAACATACTTATCGAGCTGGTATTACATTTCTGTTGAAACTTAATTTATATTTTGCTTGCTGAAGCAGAACATATTTTTACTCGTTTTGAGCACACATACCACTGTACTAGATTCAAAATATGTAAATGTCTACTGCATCCATTTATATAGACATTAGCTGCAATGTTTAGCAATTTATTCATATCAATAAAACAAATCGTTCGTTTAAATTGTATAAACTACGATACCTTTACATTTACTGTAAAAAGGTAATATTAATATTTGTTTACCTTACAAAAGTCTATCCATTAAGTCTCAACATCGTTTCATAAGGCTTCTGCTTTGCCAGGTGGTGGAGGGTTATGGTTAAAAAAATTCCATTATACCTGCATGATCTAACCCAAAATAAACAAATTATGAATCATAATATTGCTTGTGAAAGCCTACATATAAAAGTTACTGCTTGGGATGTTTCACAGTTCCTTTATATTAGGAAATATATTTCGTGTGTGGGCAGTAACTAGAAAATTAGTTTCTGAGTTGGCAGAACCGAATTTGCCCAGGGACACGCAAGTCGCATGAGAGGACAATGATTAAACTCCATTCACAGAGAGAGAGAGAGAGCTTTAAGAAAGCTACTTGGCCTAATGCCCCTGACAAGAAGCTCTTTGCCCAGCAGGTTAATGTCTGAAGCAGGCTCCTCTCTATGCCCATATGCGCGTCTTGTTATAAACATTAGACCACCACGAAAAAACACTCTTAGGCGAATACAAAACATGCCTTTACTAAAACTGACAATGGCAGTTCACTTTAGTGTCATCGCTATCCCACAGTGGTGGCTAACAATGTAGCCACAATGGGTGATTCATCTAGCTTGTGAAACGTTCATTTGCCGATCCTGTGTACTCGCTCCACTGCTCACTGCTCAAGCGAAAGAGCACGTCTTGACCTTCGCATTCGCCATCTGGAAGTCGGCGTCTGCCATTATTAAAGTTAATCTCCGTGGGTTGTGCATTATCCCCATTGTGACTCGGACAGATCATTCTCAAGTCAAGCTACGATACAAATGTGTAAATATTTTCACAGGAAAGCCTCACTAAATCTGAAGAGTTTGTCTTCAGAAGGGTCCTCTTTGTGAACTTTTTATAGTTCGTTTATATAAGGGTTTAAAAAAGAGCCTTTTAATTGGATAACATACCTACTTACTGCACGGAATCCCACGCGCACCGCATTTCCGTACAGGTTTGTGTCTCATGCAATTCCCATCTCTCTATAATCCATCAGCCCCATCTCTTAAGTCGCTGGATTACAGACATGTGCCACAAAACCTGGACTATGAATGTATTAAATACCAATCACTAATGACGGTGGTAATTTAGTCCATATAGCGATCCCCAGCATGGGATGGTGGAATTTTCATCACCGGCCCAAGATTTCCAATGCAGATGAATGCTGCCCCAATATTCGTCTCGAGCAGGGAGATACTTTGATTTGATACATATATTATCAGACAGCTGTGCAGAAACCCACTTGTTCCAACAGGCAGTGTGTTGTAATGCGGTTGCCTGTTTGATGTTTAACACAGACATGCGTGCACTGGCTTTATCCCCGCGTGAGACATTCACTCACCCATCGCTATATCACAGGTGTTCAACCCTCGAACGAATGAGACCTACATTCGTGAATGGCTTAGGTTGCCACTGAGCCATTCATTATTTTATTTTTTGTTTGCACAAGATGGTAAGATGTGTCACAAAGCGCCTTAATGGCTCTAATGATATTAAAGTCTGAGATAATTCCATTAAATGTAGGATTAGCACTATATTCTCATGCTGAAAAAGTCAATCCCTTTCTGTTCTCACAATATATAAGAATATTCTTTGGGTCTTTCCGTAAAGTCACGTAGATAGGTTCAAATTAATAAAAAATATATATGAAACAAACAAAAACCTACGTTTCGATCCCAACACAATCGATCCTGATGACGATCGCTTGTGTTGTGATCGAAACGTCGTAGTTTTTTGTTTGTTTTATATTTATTTGTATTAATTTGAACCTATCTACGTGACCTAACCGAAAGACCCAAATAATATTAATTCCTGCAGTCACGAAAGCTTTAAGTCAAGATTTAATATATAAGAATTGCGGTGTCTGGGGATAATGGTTGTCTCAGAGCACGAAGCCAGCAACACTGAAACCCTGAGTTAGAATCTGGGTTTCAGTTGGCCAAGGTGAAGGAGCTTAACCCATATTCACGTGCAGCCAGCCGATTGTCCCAGTTCCATCAACAATGCCAGTATAACAATTCAACATATACAATTATTGTTTTCTTAGATAACACTTTATTATTTTAATACATATACTTATTGGCGCGCTGCAAACCATGACTCACAAATAAAACTTAGCGCTCTCTAGTGATGGGAGTGAGACCTATTGAGATGATATAAGGAGTTCTATGGCCCAGACGAAATATAATTTTCATCCTAATTAAGGTTTGCTGTTAGTTTTTTTGTTGAAGAAAATAACACCCACAGTATATATAGAGTTTACTTTTTGGTGATAAAATGCATATGTAGTATACAAACTAAACAATTAATAACTTGTCCTACACATAAAGGCTGTGGGAAAGCCTGGCGAGCGAGCACCGATTTCAAGCCAACACGGCGCAAGAGGAGCTGTTTGAGATCGGCATTCACACCCGGCCGTCTTTGTCTCTCCACTGCTGATACCCACACTGCCTCAAGGACAACACTCGCTTGGGATGATTCAACCCAAGAGAGTTTAGTCCTTTTGAGTCGCGCTATGCCCCAGGCCACCACGGTACCCAATAACACACACACACACACGCGCGCATATTCTTCCCAACTCGTGGGCTAGAGGCGTCAGTGGCTGCTGCTGCTGCCCCTCTGCTAGCGCGCGGGGGGGGGGGACGGGGGGGGTGCTGAACTGGACAGCTCCACCTCGACATCACGCCGTCAGCCACAGCGGGGCCGAGGGGGGCCAGCAGCAGCTGCTGCCACCCTCCCTGCAAGGCTCGGTTTATCACGGGTTACAATCGATATGTCAGACACGACTTGTTTATGCATGCACAGCACCCCTTACCCTGCCCCCCCCCCGAAACGCCAGACACACGTAGAGCGTACAGCTCCACACCAACCTCGCGTTTCCACGCCGCCGCACTCGCAAACGATACACGCAGACAGACACAAGCCCGCCCGTATTACATTTTTGTTTCTCTCTCTCTCTAAATCATTACATTGTACTTTGTTGTAAGTCCGGGTGTGGTTTCAGCCGAGGCTGCTGCATTACACGCGGGGTTTTTTTTATTTATTTATTTCCGAGCGAGAGGAGCCAGAGTTCAGTGGGACAGGCTGCTGCTGGTCGTGGTGGTGGTGGTTTGTGTGACGCGCACCCCCGTGGGTTGGAGAGCGGCTCTGTGTGTGTGTGTGCACACAGCAGCAGCAGCAGCACACACCCCGACCTCCACGGTATTGTACCGCGCGCATACTTCCATTTGCACACCATACAAGTACCGAATATCATACACATCCCTGTCCGTGTGTGCTTACCACATGTATCTGTGTATACATACTACAATATATATGCGACACGTCTAGCACGGTTGATTACGTACGGTGCGAAACAAGTTCAACATCCATACATTGGCGCGTATACCTCCACACACGCTCACACCTCTCTTGGTGAGCACACTGAACGCTGACCAGTGTGTGAGTGTACACACATAGACGCGCAGCCTTTGCGTACGGGTTTAGACATTGCAATGCGCGGGATATGCACATGTGGGTGCTTCTGTTCGTGATTGTGTTGCATGATACGCACTACGTTGAATGTCTTTCGCACCGTACGTCTATGCCGTGTGCACGTCGAAGCGAGATAATGCGGTAAGTGCACGTGGGAATGAATGATCGACGCCTGAGCGATGTGTGCGCTCCCGTGCATTGCTATTATATAGTCGTTGTATCCTGCGATAGCTGCTCGAGCATATACAGTACACACAGACACACACCGCATGTGTGGCCAGCCCTATGCACGTACCCATTGCTCGTTTGTGAGTGCAGCTATGGAATGCACATCGATCATATGTACGCATACATCGATCATATGTACGCACACGCATGCACGTACATACACACGCGCACGCGTGTGTATGTACGTGAACAAACAACGAACTTATACACGCGCGCAGACTCATGCATGTATGCACACACGCATACATGTACGCAAGCGCACACACACACACGTGCATACATGTATGTACACACACGTGCACAGACGCATGTATGTACACGCACACGTACGCATGTACACACGCGCACACACCAATGCATAAATGTACGCACGCACGCACACACGTGCGCGCGTGCACAGACGCACGTATGTACACACACACACACGTGGCCAGACGTGTGTGTACACACACGCGCGTGCATGTACTCACACGCACGCACGCACACGCACAGCCGCGCGCGCCGCCTGTGCTCAGAACCTCACTTCCCTTACAGCTCTCGCACAGCAGACAGTGCAGGCACGGCACAAGGACGGCAGGAAGCCAGCCAAAGCCATTCCCTTCAGCAGCAGCAGCAACAACAACGAGCAGAAGAAGATTACGCGGAGAGACAAGCGAGGAGCAGCAGGAGGATAACGACCACTAACGACCAAGAGGAAGACCAAGTAAAGACGCACAATGGCAGCAGCCGCAGCAGGGAAAGGAGGAGGCGGCGGCGGTAAGGACGAGGAGCTGCCTGCCTACTTCGGCCGCCTGGGCTCCGGCAGCCCCAAGCCTCGGCAGAAGTACGGAGGCATGTTCTGCACGGTGGAGGGGGCGTACGAGAACAAGACCATAGACTTCGACTCGTACAGCGTGGGCCGACGATCGGCCGCGGAGACTCCGAACCGGTCCGAGACGCGCTCGCCGGCGTCCGGGAACTCCCCGCCGGGCAGCGTGAGCGGCGGGGAGTCGGCACCCGGCAATGGGGACGCGGAGAGCGGGGCACCGCTGCCCGGTCCACCCGGGGTCACCGGCACCACGACGAGCGGCAACGGCAACCCGCTCACGATCAGGGCGGCCACCGGCAAAGAGGCGCTGCAGAACAATGACGACGATGTGAAGGTGTGTGTGTGTTTAGATGAGTGTGTGTAGATGTGTGTGTTTGTAGATGAGTGTGTGTGTGTAGATGAGTGTGTGTGTGTAGATGTGTGTGTGTAGATGTGTGTGTGTGTAGATGTGTGTGTGTAGATGTGTGTGTAGATGTGTGTGTGTGTGTGTTTAGATGAGTGTGTGTAGATGTGTGTGTGTGTAGATGTGTGTGTGTGTAGATGAGTGTGTGTGTGTAGATGTGTGTGTGTAGATGAGTGTGTGTGTAGATGTGTGTGTGTAGATGAGTGTGTGTAGATGTGTGTGTGTAGATGAGTGTGTGTGTAGATGTGTGTGTGTAGATGTGTGTGTGTGTAGATGAGTGTGTGTGTGTAGATGTGTGTGTGTAGATGTGTGTGTGTAGATGAGTGTGTGTAGATGAGTGTGTGTGTGTAGATTGTGTGTAGATGTGTGTGTAGATGTGTGTGTTTAGATGAGTGTGTGTAGATGTGTATGTGTGTAGATGTGTGTGTGTGTGTAGATGAGTGTGTGTGTGTAGATGTGTGTGTGTAGATGAGTGTGTGTGTGTGTAGATGAGTGTGTGTGTGTGTAGATGTGTGTGTGTGTAGATGAGTGTGTGTGTGTAGATGTGTGTGTGTAGATGAGTGTGTGTGTAGATGTGTGTGTGTAGATGAGTGTGTGTAGATGTGTGTGTGTAGATGAGTGTGTGTGTAGATGTGTGTGTGTAGATGTGTGTGTGTGTAGATGAGTGTGTGTGTGTAGATGTGTGTGTGTAGATGTGTGTGTGTAGATGAGTGTGTGTAGATGAGTGTGTGTGTGTAGATTGTGTGTAGATGTGTGTGTAGATGTGTGTGTTTAGATGAGTGTGTGTAGATGTGTATGTGTGTAGATGTGTGTGTGTGTGTAGATGAGTGTGTGTGTGTAGATGTGTGTGTGTAGATGAGTGTGTGTGTGTGTAGATGAGTGTGTGTGTGTGTAGATGTGTGTGTGTAGATGAGTGTGTGTGTGTAGATGTGTGTGTGTAGATGAGTGTGTGTGTAGATGAGTGTGTGTGTGTAGATTGTGTGTAGATGTGTGTGTAGATGTGTGTGTGTAGATGTTTGTGTGTGTAGATGTGTGTGGGGAGCGGTAGTGTAGCGGTTAGCCCGCTGCGCTATGAACCTGGCGACCCGGGTTCGATTCCCGCTCACGGCCAACACCAGTGACGATTATCTGAACCGGTCCCGGGCCTCCCCTAGGTCGGCTCAGCCTCAAAATTTGTACCTGGTGCGGTGTGTAAACATAGCCACTTGGGAGACAAATGCGGTTGGACGTGGTGCTGGCCACCCACCCCCTCGTGTACCGTTCCGGCCTTCATAGGTGCTCGCTAACAGCACTTGCACCAACTGTCTGTTGGAGGCTATACGGGAGATTTTTGTCTTTGTTGTGCCTGTAGTGGGGAGCGGTAGTGCAGTGGTCAGCGTGTTGCGCTACGAACTCAATACCCCGAGTTCGATTCCGGACCATGACTAACATCGGTTTGCGAGTGAGATCTGAACTGGTTCTGATATCTGGGTCGACTCAGCCTTAAATGAGTATCTGATGCGGAAAACATGAGATGGCTGCTCACAACACTTGCAAAACATAACGTCTTAGGAGGAGTCTTTGTGTCTCTGTTTTGGCATGAACTTAGGTTGTCTGAACCTGTTACGGGCTTCCCTTTGCTCGACTCACACCTAGACGAGTCTGGTGCTGCATTGCATAAATATCCGCATTGGAGAGACAAAGGCGTTCGGGCGTGGTCCTGACTAAACCGCTGGTCTTAAGAGGTCCGTGCAAACAGCATTTCCCCTGTCTTTCTGAATATCCCGTGCGTGATCTGTGTGTTATCGTGAGTTACGTGTATTGTGGTTGTCGTGTTTTGTGTGTTGTGTCTTTTGTGTGTGTGAGTAGTGTGGTGTCGTTCTGTGCGAGTCGTATTGTGCCTCCGCATCTAAGTGTGTCACTGTGTCAATGTCCATGGAGTAGGCGCGCGCGCGTGTGTGTGTCTTTGTTATTGTGTCTGTGCGTTATTGTGTCTCGTGGTAGAGCGAAAGCATTGCCGTTCGCGTGTTACAAACCCGGCCACCTGAGTTCGAATCCTGGTCACGCCCAACATCAGCAACGATGATCTGAACCGGTCCTGGACCTCCCCTAGGTCGACTAAGCCTCAAATGAGGACCTGGTGCGATGTGTAAATATTGCCACGAGGGAGACAAAGGCGGCCGGTCGTGGTGCTGGCCACCCGCCCTCTCGTGTGCTGTGCCGGCCTTCATAGGTGCTCGCTAACAGCACTTGCCCCAAAATTATATTAAGGCTGTACGGGGGATCTTTGTCTTTGTTGTGCTATAAGCAGGTGCGTTGCCTTGTGTGTTATTGTATCTTACGCTGCGGTGTCACGTATTAGTTGGTGCCCTATGTTGTATCGCACTGTGTCAGTGTGTGAGTGGTTCGTGTGTGTTTGTGTGTGAATGGTTCATATTGTGCCTTTTCTTACACGCCGTGACATTCTTGCGTGGTATTTTGTGTATGTATACGGTAAAGTGTTTGTGTATGTGAATGTAGTTAGTGGTGCGTTTGTTAGTATACGTGTGCACGTTCACGCGAGCGTGTGTGTGCTGATTAGCGCAATGCGCCAGATCTCACTGGTCCAATATCACATTCCTGACCAGGCACAATGCAGAGAGGCCTGACCCTCACCTAGATCTCCTCGGCCTGAATAAGCACCGGATACATTTGGTCAACATTAATTTGGCATCCCACAAGCACTCGAGCGTTTGCACCGGATTTAATAGGTGCTCGCTAACAGAACACACGGCCCCGACATACTCGGCAAGCTGAATGAACATCTGTGCCCTGCGTGTGTAGTCATGTGTTGGTAAATGCGATTCTCCGAGTGCAATTGTGCATGAATCTGACCCGCTTTGTGCAGTGCATGCGCACTGTCGACAGATTATTGTATTGTGCATCTCCATATTTGAAACCGAGTCTGGCCAAAATTAACTCCTTGATAAGGGAGACACTCCCGAGATACATGCATGCCAGTCTTTGACGTGCACTCTGCAGCAGATGGCACGCGCCGATCGTCGTGGACCCGACTCCGTTTCTCACAGACGTGTTTGGTCGGATAATTATTTCTTCAACACACCGGTGGGCTAAAGTAGTGAACTATTTGTCCTTTGTAAACGTGACACTTTTTTACTGTTTGGCCGTGTCGGGTGGTGGAGGGTTACGACACATTTATTAATAACGCGATCTAACCCGAAAAACCTTTATTATGAATAATTATTTCATGTTGTGAGTGTGGTGTGTGTCTGCCGTTCACGACTTGCATAACGTGTGCAATGCATGGGTCAATGTATGGGTGTGTTCACGGCTGTGTGTTCATGGTTGTGTGTGTAGAACATGGCATTCAATTCCCGCTCACGGCCAACACCAGTGCCGTTTATCTGAGCCGGTCCTGGGTCTCCCCGAGGTCGACTCACCCTCAAATGAATAATATTTGGTGTGGTATGCAAACATCGCCACTGGGGAGACAAAGGCGGCCGGGCGTGGTCCTGGCCACCCACCGTCTCACGTGCCATGCTGGCCTTCATAGGTGCTCGCTAACAGCACTTGCCCCAACAGTGGGTTGAGACTATACGGGGGATCTTTGTCCTTGCGCGTGGCCTCAAGGTGCACCTAGCTTGGCACAATCGCTGTGGTGACATCACCGCCACTTAGTGGTTGTTGTTGGTGGTGATTCGTGGTTTGCTTCCGAGCCAATGAAAAACACAAAGTGGCAGCATTTGGCGTCTAACCTTGAACCACGTTTTATTCTGTGCCTCCCCATGATTGTGAGGTCAACATCAGCACGGGCAAGGTCATTAATGGTGGTGTGGCTTTGCGCTGCCACTCACTTCGCCGTGCCAGCTCATGTAGGCTGCGTGATAACGGCACTTGCCCCAGCAGCCTGTGAGGTAGAATATTGCCCCTTTTTTGTGTTTAATCGTCGTGTGTTCGGAAAAAGGGTGTGAGGCACGACCACTTTCATGTTGCATCGTTATGGATCTACCTTGACGCTAGTCTTCCCGTGTCCTTGCCAGGTGCACGACATTTGCATTCACTCCCTATAAACGTCGGTGCTTTGTTGACGACCCAGTACCCCCCCCACACACACACACCGTCTGCCACCCAGCCACACCAACGGCGCCCGATATTTTGTCTGTATATTATTCACTCCGAGTGAGGGTGCAAGAGCCTCGCGCTGCAGTAATCCTCTGCAGCTGAACAAATGTCTTTTTTTTTGCTGCTGCTGCTGCTGCTGCTGCAGACGTCGGTGATGCATGGTGGCACTATAAAATCACTGCAGTTGCCTTGCCCGTAGTATGGATGTGCCCTTGGTTACTAATAAGCACGCGCTGTAGACATCCTTGGAAGTGTATACGGTATATCGCAGCAATGGATTTTCGTTTTATTCCCCAGTCGTGGAAAAAAAGCAAACTTCAGCCATGAATATCAAATGTATGGTGATTAGCGCATCACATTTTATAATATCTTTGGTCCCAGGTTCAATATGTTGTCAGTGCACATAATGCAGTGACCCCCTTGCTAGGTAGACTCAGCCTAAAATGAGCACCTGAAGTAGTGATCAATATGTACTGAACATACACCCACACTCGTCTGCTGGTGCTGTACTTCATAGGTGTTCGCTAACAGTACACGTTGCACCAGTCCATGCAACCCAAAGGAGCATCTTTGTTACGCGTGTGCGTGTGTAATGTAATTGTCCATTTGTAAGTAAATAAATGGCAAAGATTAAAACGTTCGAAAAGAAACGTGGCATCCCAGGTGGTGAAATCGTGGCCATTTTACCCCCATAGTAAAAGTCGAATAGGTTCCTGGGAAATTGCTCAGGTTAACCGATTAGCTTTGGGAGGGCCCTCGTGGTCACGTGAACATTTAGACCATGTCCTCGTGTCCCCCGCATTGCAGGACCAAGCTGTGCATGCAATCGC